CCAGACCATTATATTAAGTGCTCACGGTCAGTTGTCGGTAATAACTGTCTGGGTTGGGCCTGTGCACGTTATTGGTTTAATTTGCATATCTGCATGAGCCTTCCTCCTGAAGGGAAGGGCCAAGGGATAGCTCAGTCTTTTTCTAGAGAGGCCAACTTTGAAGAGATGCGGCAGGAGTGCTGGTGTTATGGTGGAATTTAAGATGGTCATTTTGGAAAGAAGGACAAAGAACCCCAGCAAAACCCTTCTGCTTGCTACCCAGAGTCTCTTTTTGTTCCTGTATTCCTCTTCCCTACCACATCAGACCCTGGGGATAGGCAGAGATCTTGTTTATCCAAAAAGCCTACTGACAGGTCTTGTGGTAAATGAACCTGCAGACCCTTTCTGGGAGGGCAGCAGGGCAAGTATTCGGCCAATATTTTTTAAATTAGGGGTAAGAAGAACTCTGAGCCAGCTGCCTCTACAACTGCAGTGTCCAACCCCACTGCTAAGCAAATTGCTAGTATTTCCCAGTGCTGGGTTTTGATGCTTGCTTTGGACAGATGTGAATTCAAGGGCAAGGCAAACAGAAAACAGAAGCCTACCTTGTGTTTGAGTGCATTTCCAGAGAGGTAGATATGAAAGGATGTGCCCCCCTGGCTCCTTTCCAGAAATGGCAACCTCCTCTCCAGTGCAGCAGGATCCCTAGACCTGTTGCTGCCTGGGGTGATGGAGTGCCAGTGGGCAAGGCCTGCAGTACTTACTCCAGCAGCCAGGGTACCAGTGCAGGGACAGAATGGCTGGCTGGGGTCGTGTTGTTCCTCTTCCTGTCATCTCCCAAGGTCGTATTGTCTTCCCCTGCTTCCAAAGGAGTTAGTATTGGAAAGATGCCAGAGGTGATTTACACTTCTCAGAGCTTTCATTCCGGGCCTTCACTTATACCTAGAACACTCACTGATGGTTTTTTCTGCAACTTACGCAATGTTATAAAAAAAAAGGAAAAGAAGAAGGAAGCAGATGACATAACTCTGCAAGCTGAGGCTCATGTCTCAGTCTGGTTTTGACTACAAAAACAGTTTGCTCACTGTCTGTGAGCTCAGTCCTTCATCTTGGGAGTACTGGGCCAGCAGGCATGGTGAGGGGCAAGTGGTATCTGTCTGGGGATAAGGATGCAGTTAGTCCTTTGGATCTGCTAATGAGCTCATACTCATGACATGAATAATGTAGCGAATCCTCTATTAATTCAGGACTGATTTTACCAGCACTCCCAGTCCTGCACTTCACCTTTTTTTGGCTTTTTCACATGTGCACACACACATAAAAACCACTATAATCTGCACCTGCATTCTGCCCTGTGAAGTGCCAACCATGTAGAGTTTAGCTCATAGTTCAGCCAAAACCTCAGTGACGGTACCTTGGGTTCATCCTTCTTTTTTTCTGCAATCCCATCATCTGCCATCATCTTCACACTGTCTCCCTCATCCTCCGTCAATGACTGGAAACAAATCATCTGACATTCTCCTGTAGCACGTTAGTGAAGGCCCAGCTGCAGAGGAAGACTAAGGGGATGACCAGGAAGTACAAATACTAAACAATGGAAGGGAAATTACCATACATATTTGCTTTGTTGAAGCCTGTTGAGATGCCACTTAGCTGTGTGTATATGTATGTACACATGTGTTTGTAGTTACGAGCTCAAGAAGGAGTAAATCCTCCTTCTACTTGTTCTTAACATCTTGTCTCAACATTTAAAGTCAGAATTTTTACCTTTCAAAACTGAGTCTTTCTTTTCTGTTTTCAGGCTAATCAGTGTAGGAACTGGGGTAACAGAAAGGCATCAGAAGTCGATTAGCAAAAACGTCTCCTATTTCTATATCTTTCAGATCGAAATGCTAGAGCACAAATACGGTGGTCACCTGGTGTCTCGCAGGGCAGCCTGCACCATCCAGACTGCTTTCCGGCAGTACCAGCTCAGCAAGAACTTTGAGAAGATCCGCAACTCACTGTTGGAGAGCCGCATGCCACGCCGCATCTCTCTGAGGAAAGTCCGGGTCCAGAACTCAGAGAGCTTCTCCACTGAGAAAGCCTTGGTGGAGGGGTACAACTTTGTGGGCATCCCATTGGTGAGGTCCCCATCTTTGCCAGCCACCATCAGTGGGGCACTGACCGAGCTGGAGGACTCCTTCACAGAACAAGTTCAGTCCCTGGCCAAGTCTATTGATGATGCCCTCAGCACCTGGAGCCTGAAGACCATGTGCTCACTGCAAGATGGGGGCTCCTACCAGATAAGGGAGACCTTCAGTGCTAGCTCAATGCAGCCAAACCAAGACTTAGAATCTGAGTTGCAGGACAAGGAGAAGGAGGAAGGGCTCCTGCCAGATACCTTACCCAAGAGCAGCAGCACTCTCATGATGGCTTTTCGAGATGTCACAGTCCAGATTGACAACAAGAACATCTCTGTCTCATCGTCTACCTCGGTGTCCATGGCAAACTGCCTTGGCAGCAATGCCCAGGCTGGGCTCTCTCAAGCCGCCAAGGCTGAAGAAAGCCCAGGAGAAGGGGAGGAAGAAGCCAGTGAACCACAGGCTGCCCCAGAGAGCTTACCTGAGTCCAGTGCTCTCCAGAACAGCCACACTTTCACCGAGGTGACTGTTAGTACTAACGGCACAGGAGACAGCAGTGCTGAGCCTGGGCAGATGGCAGTGCAGAAGCTCCAGTTTGATGCTGGCAACGAGACGGGGCAAAGCAAAGGCTCCGAGTCTGAGAACGCAGACAACTCAGAGCAGCTGAGCAGCAGCAGCACCTCCACTTCAGCTAAGTCAGCCTCTGAGGTGTCCTCGAAAGAAGCACTGCAGGCCATGATCCTCAGCCTCCCAAGGTACCACTGCGAGAACCCAGCTAGCTGCAAGTCACCTACACTTTCCACAGACACCATGAGGAAGCGCCTCTACCGCATTGGGCTGAACCTCTTTAATATGTAAGTGACTCTTCTTTCATGTTTCCCAGCCTGTTTCATGCCTCACAGGAAGAGGTGATGCCAAGCTTTTGGTCTAGATCCATCTCTGGGCAAGTTCTTTCGTACTCAAGGGCATGACCATCTGGGTGTGCAATGCAGACCACAGGTTGGTTGCCCAGAAACTTTTTCCCTAAAGGCCCCCAAGTGCTGTCCTATTCTGCTGCCCAACAGAGGAACAAGCCCAGTGCCCCATGGGTAGTGCCCATGCTCTCCTGAATTCTGAACCTTCAGTCCCAGCTGCTGTCCGTTTGGAATCTACCAGCTGGGCCTGGGATCTAGGCTCCTGCTTCCTCTGTTGCAAAGGAACAAGTATAGCTGGGACTGTAAACCCAGCCCTGATTACTTAACATGGGGCATTTCCAAGTAAAGAGAGAGAGTCAGGGGTAGAGCTGAGCTCAGCTAGCCCAGTATGAGTGCTCTGGCTGTCATTTTCCTTCTGGTATTTGGGTAGATTTTCACCTGACAATCCAGGTTTAGTCATCTCAGTCTCACACATCTGAGTCTGATATCCTGTGAAAAGGCTGTAGGTCTCAAAGCAAAAGCAGAGTAGCCCAGAGATTACTGTCAGAAGAGGTTAACTCGAGGGGTCACACATAGTGTGTTTTGGATTAGCTGAGATCCTATAAGGAGCTTTAGATTTGCTCATTGCCTTTCGATGAGACTTTTGTCATCTCAGCAAGCCATGAGAAATACTGCTTTTTGCTCCATCATCACACTCTCGTCTTATGCTGTCTTGGTTTTCATTTGAGTCCACTGATGAAGATGCTGGGGATGGTAATGCACCCGTACTAGAAGAATGTTTTGCCACACATTAGCATGGGCCTTTGGTCAGAGCGAGGAATAAAATTACATAGTCCTAGGCAGAAGTTTTGCACAGACAAGGGGGCAATGCACAGAATGTGTAGTATAGAAGCTGTGGACGGCAGGAAGCAGGAACCTGGAAGAGAGGTTTATAGGGCTGGGCTCAGAGCACATCCAGAACTGATGTTAGAGCAGATAGACCTGGGACTTTTACAGAACCGAGGAGGACATTTTACTAGCTCTGAGATCAGGTTGTAAACAAGTGGGTCCATGTGTATATATCAAAAGTCAGGCTCTGGGCACACACAGATTTGCCTGATGAACACAAGCAGGCTGGGAGGAGAAAAGGTAGGCACCAGACACAGGTGGGGGTTGGTTATGATAGAGATAGTTCCAGGTCCACACACATTTCGGGTGTTTGTGTTGGGGTAGGTGTACTTCTGGAGGGGGGACGTGGGGCTCACATCTCTGCTGCCAAGTGTTTCAGTATTCTCAGCCATGCTCAGCAGGAGTCCCTCCATCCAATGTATTTTCCTTTGGTTCCTGCACAGTTGACTTGAACACTGATGTGAAGATACAGCAGAAGTGAAAATGCTTTTTCCCATCCTCTCCTCTTCCCCCAATCTTCCTGGCACACATTCATGTGACAAATTAGCAGCACCAGGTCTGGTTTGGGAAAGCGGCTTTGCTGTCCTCCTTCATTCAGTGACCGTGGTTCACTGCAACTTGCAGGTCCCTGTGGAATAGAAAACTTACTGTGGAGCTCCGAAATACAACTTCCTAGCCAGGTCTCCCCTGCTCCCTTCAAACTAGCTGCTGAAATAATGTGCAGTAACCTGTAAGGCTCAGTTTCCTTGCTAAAACTTTGGAGGACAGGGAGGGAGGGAACTGACCTGTTAGCTGTGGAGAGTGTAGCCTTTTTTTTATTCTCTGAGCAGGATCTAAGAGACACATGGCTCCCCTTGTGATGCTGCAGTGCACCTCCATCCAAGGGGCTAGGAAGGCCATTCAGCTTTCTGCAGTTATTTGGTCGTTTTTTTCTCTGTCAGTTTCTAGCAAGGAGCCAGTTTACCATTGTAGGGTTTGCAAGGTGGGCACCAACCGGTAGGGCATGGAGCTGAGGCCGTGTGTGCATGTGCACACATCCTTTTTGCTGACCGCTCCCCTGGACCAAGAGCTGAAAGCCTGCAGTTGCTAGCAGCATCTGCCATAGTCTATCCGGCCTTGCGCTGTGTTTTCAGAAAGCAGTGCTCTGGCTGAGAGCAGGCCCCTGGGAACACATCGATGCTGAGCTGCTGTGGCACTTTCCCCATCCCCACTTCACAGTGAGGGGGTGGAATCCCTGGAACGGAGAGTGCTTCATTATGCAGCACTGCTGTAATTACTCTGTGTGTGTGTGGGCAGCTGGCTGAGTGGGCAGAGGGAAAGCCAGCAGGACGTGAGGAATCCCGCAGCATTTGCTGGCCGTGTTTAACACCCCTGCAACACTAAAGAAAACAGCAGGGACCAGGTTCAGGAGAGATGGAAGTGGAGTTGTCTGCTGCGCATTTGGGTAAAAGCTTAATGTTGCAGTACATGGGATACAACTGCAGGTGTTCAGAGGCAGAGATGCTGTACTGCTATCAGGATTTTGTGGAGAACAAATTGAATCCTCCCGGGAAAAACTGATGAAAGGCTGCTGTTACTGGAAAAATAGTGTGTGCAAGTATATTTGAGTTATAGTCTAGGCAGTGCAGGAAGGCTGTCACAGCTAGACTGTTTTATCCTACATCCTCTTGCATTGTGTGTGCCATCTCTACTGAAATCTGCACATCCATGCCAGTGTGTGAGCTGCATTATTCTGGACTTATTCAGCTCCCAGCTCATCTGGAGTGAATCCAAAATCAGCCCAGTGGCTTTGGAGCCACACCAGTGTAGTTAAGATCATCCACCATATTCTCCCTTGCCAAATACCAAAGTATGCAGGTGGAAGTGCATTTTATGAATCTCTGTTGCTTAGCTTGACTTTGGTCCTGACCATACAACCTTTGCATTTAGCAGACAACTTTGCCTGTGCTCTTCAAAGGTGAACCAGGAGATCTGTGTGATGATACAGAATGTGCACTGTTGCCTTTCCCTGAAGAATGCCTGGGTTTTTCAATATCAGATCTTTCAGCTCTCCTGTTCATAAATCTAATGGGCTGATTTGTTCTCCCAGCCACTCTCCCCAGGGATGCCACACTGCCCAGGATATTTTCTTTGTGGCATTACAGAATAAGCAGAAATATTTCAAGGCCATCTACTTATTGTATACTCATGAGACCCCTGTAAGGAGCAGGCCATTCTCCTCGATGCTGATCCTCTTATAGCTACACATATGTTGCTCACCCACATCGTTCACCACCTGACAGTGTCACAGTCTGTGCCTGAGCATATCATGCATTCACATGCTCTGAGATCTCATCTTATCCCTTCCTCACCCCAGGAAACTGCCTGAGCAAACTAACTCCTTCAGCTTTGACAAAGATCCCTAAATTTGGGTTAATGATGAAAGTATGGCATCGTTTTGTGAAGAAGCTACTCTTACCTCTCCCCATTCACCAGCTTAGAGAACCAAAGGAATGTGGAAATCTTCCTGGCATTGCACCAGTTCCCCTCAACAAGAGTGCATCATGACAGACACCCTTCAGTGGGGCAGACTGAAATATAGGAAGAAAACATCCTGCACAATACAGACAAACACACTCATTCCTGTCTGTACTGTGGGACAGGCACCACATAGGCTCACAGGCACTCCTAGGATACCTAGAAGCATGTGTGCTTATAGGAGACATGAGGAGAAAGACAAAATACGCAGACACATGGGCTGTGATGAACATGTATGGTGCAAAAGAAATCTGCATGTACAGGACATAGACACACACAAGCGCATGCTTGCTGAGACACCCACCACCCCCCAAGAGCTGTGTATGCCAGCACAGACACTGGCACATTAAGAAGCAGAAAATCACTCCCACAACCAGGCAAGCAGGCTCACTCAGCACCAGGCCAGTTCTCAGAGAAGCAGTCACAGCCACAGAGGGAGAAAAAGCCTCTGTCTGGGAGCTGCACGCAGCTCTCTCCCAGCTCTGACAAGGCATTCTCAAGGTGCGTGCTCTCATCCACCCACACACAGAGATTTCTGCCTCAGGGGGTAAATCAATAGAGAAGGTGAGAACAACACAGCTAAGGGTGGGGGGAGTGGAGGAAGAGATAAGCAAATCTGAGCATGGGATTTCTGTTCGGGCAGCCAGCTCACCAGGATCAGGTGAGGAAGGTAGAAAGTGTCATTCAACACTGAGCACTAAAAAAGAGAATTATTTATTTTTACAGAAAAAAATGCCCACCTTTGTTTATCCTCCACGTCTGGAGCCTCATTTGCCCATAGACTTTGGTAGCAATGTCTCTCTTCACAGCCATGTTTTCCCCTGTGCCTTTGTCTGCCCTACAGAAAGTGCAACACCAGCTCCCCTAAAGCAAAGGGTCACGTGCCCAGCTCCCACCCCTGGTCCTTGGGTACAGCTCTCTGTAGGTTGCATTTGGAGCAGCTGAATGTACTGATATTTCCTGTGCTGTCTGTGTAGGACACACACTCTAACCATGTCCTCACAGGGACTGTAAACAAACCAAGCTGGGGCAGGGACAATACAAGAGCATTTGACTTTGCAGCAGAGGGATCGCGCAATAACAGAGTCACAGCACGGCAGGGGTTGGAAGGGACCTCTGGAGATCATCTAGTCCAACCCCCTGCTAAAGCAGGTTCGCCTAGAGCAGGTTGCACAGGATCGCGTCCAGGTGGGTTTTGAATGTCTCCAGAGAAGGAAACACCACAACCTCTCTGGGCAGCCTGTTCCAGTGCTCTGTCGCCCCCAATGTGAAGAAGTTTTTCCTTATGCTGGGGTGGAACTTCCTGTGCTCCGGTTTGTGCCCATTGCCCCTTGTCCTGTCACTGGGCACCACTGAAAGAGCCTGGCCCCATCCTTTTGACTCCCGCCCTTTAGATATTTATAAGTGTTGATAAGATCCCCTCTCAGCCTTCTCCAGGCTAAAGAGCCCCAGGTCTCTCAGCCTTTCCTCATGAGAGAGATGCTCCAGTCCCCTCATCATCTTTGTAGCCCTGGCAGAAGAGAGTCATTGATGAGGCTGGTATCATGCAGCAGGATCCTTTGTGGCAGTGGGATGGTACTTGTGATTGCCAGGTGACACCACATTTCCCACGGCATCCTTTTGTCCTCAACAGCAACTGGGGGTCACTTCCTCAAGTCACTTTTCCCTGCTCCCACTAGTCCCAGCCCTGCCACATGCATGAACTCACAGAAGCCCATGCACATACTGAGGGCTGCATTGCTGCAGTAAGGTGAGACAGAGGCAATAACACCTCAAAGAGATCATGCAAACTCACCATGTCTGTGTCCTTCCCTTTCAGAAATCCAGACAAAGGGATCCAGTTCCTGATCTCTCGAGGCTTCATCCCGGACACCCCCATTGGGGTGGCACACTTCCTGCTCCAGCGGAAGGGCCTCAGCCGCCAGATGATTGGGGAGTTCCTGGGCAACAGCAAGAAGCAGTTCAACAGGGACGTCCTGGAGTAAGTGTGGAAATCTCTTCCCCTGCTCCCTGCACTGTAAAGGAGTTGCCATCCCGCTCTGCCCCTGGCTGCACAAGCAAGCAACTTGTCCTCCATGCCCCTCCATCCCCACTCTGCAGGAGCTTCACCATTCCCACTTCTGGCTGGCACCTCTCAATGCGTTTCCCAGCAATGTGTTTTCCTTTTAATATCAGCAGCCCTTTTATTTCAGTCTCTCCTCAGAGGGCCTGCTATCATCTGGCAGGAGCTCAGCACCGTCGGGTGGTAGAACTAGTGAAGCTGGGAGGTTTTGTGACTGGGAAACTCTGTGACTGGGGTCTCAACCCATCCTGATAAAGCACCTCTGATGCTTTCTGGGAAGTACTAAGAAAGGCAGAGGAGGATAAATATCTGCTCCTTGCTGTGAGACCAGCAGAGAGCAGCGAATGCTGGCTCCACACCTGGTTCTCTTTCTGTCCAGTTTTGAGAGGGGGGGGCTTTTCAGTTTGTCCAGCTGCACTATGGGGATAGTAAGAGTGGAGTTGGTCCTGTTTGTGGTAATGAAGAGGCCTGCATGAGTAAGCATGCTACTAAGGGTTTATCATTACCACTGCAGTCACAGAGCGCTGAGGAACAACACCACTCCAAAAACTCCAATGGGCTGACCTGTCCCTTTTCTGAACAAGATCTCTAGTTTCCTCCCTATATCTGTTCAGTGGCTGCCTTTGCTGGATCATTCCCTTCAATTCTCTCACTGTGACCCTCTTCTGGTCACATAAGACATGCATCTCTCAGCCTACACCTCTCTCCTCTTTCAAGTCTTGCAATTTGGGCTGCAAAATCCTGTGAATACCTGAGACCTACACTACCTTAGCACCTGCCTGTTGCTCTGCTTTCCACATTGTAACCATTGCTAACTTGTCAGCCCCCAGCATCACAGGAGCAGGGTCTGAAGTGTTGCAAAGAAAAACATCTTACCTGTTGTTTTGAGCATTGTCCAAGATGACAGGCTTTCTGCAAAGATAGGCTTAGGGAACTGAGAGGAGCCTTTGTTTCCTGCTTGGTCCTGATCTACTTCAGGTGAGGGAAAAGGCGAAAGCACAGCTCTCTGTATGATAGAAGGGGGACATCGGGAACAGGGGACACCACCTCTCCTATCCTGAGAACCGCCACAGTGAAAGCAGGACAAGTTTGCACCAGAATGTGATTGTGAGGGCTGCCATGCAGGCTGATATGACCTGTGTAGTCAACGGACAGCAATCTCATTCAGAGATGCGTTTCAAGGGATGACCAGCACTCAGCTGTGTCTTTCTTTTATTAGGCAGAAGCACAGTTCTTGGTGAGAGCCGCCTTTGCATTAAGCAGGAATTCCTTTGCACTGGATCCTTTATTATATTCTCCTATTCTCCCAAATGTTCCCTATGTCCCTTAAATTTTGCAGTGGTTTCTCTTGAACTAAGCCAAATGGAAACCCTAAATCCAATACAAACACCACTTCTACTCCAGGGAAAGACTGGAGGATGCCAGTTCAGGGGCTAAATCTGGGCACAAATTTCAAAATTAATTTCTGCTGCAATTGCTGGTACTTATTGCTGCAGGTACCTAACCTTTGGTCCAGCTGTTTTTTTAATATACTGCATGGGTATTGATTTGGCCAGCAACAAGACACATGTTCTCTCCAGTCTCTTCATGCTGAGAGCTACAATTAAAAGTAATTGCCTCTTTTTCTCCAGCAAGCAATGTGTGGGCTGCTTCCCCTGACAGATATTCTGCTGAAGTCCACACCTAGCCTCTGCACAGACAGGGAAGTACTGCAACAGCAATAGGCTGGCACTTCCTTGTAGTCCTAAATTTGGCATCAGCTCTGCAAATGACCACGTTCTTCTGCCTCACATGTGACTACAAACTCTGTGTCAGCAGCTCCTGGGAACAGTCCCTGTTGCAAAGCTTGGTGTCTGTCTCCCAGCCCCAGTGCCCAGGAGCTGCTGTGTTGTGGTTGCCTGTCTTGCCTCTGCATGTTGCAGGAGGGCCATTAAAGCAGGTGGCCCTACTCCGTCATGCTCATTACCCTCGGTTTCCACTGCGCTTCTCAATGTACCACTCCAAATGTTCGATGAAAGAGTAAAGCTGCCATCCTATTTACACATGTAGAAAGCAAGGCTCAAAGATGGGAACTGAGCTGTTGAGGCTGTGTGTACATGGACATATTTTGGACATGGACTGTGTGGACATGGACATATGTCAAGCAACTGAGTTTGAATTTGGGGTTCAGACCTGTGTCTGATCTTCCCAGGCAACAGATGATGTTCTTGCACTAACAGTCTGTGCTGCTATCACCTCTTCACAATAAATTGCTGATTCATCTGCCTTAAAGACAAAGATAAAAGTAGACCTAAAATATGCACAAAATGTTCTAAACCAGGAAGGAAAAAGCACACACATTCAGCTGGTTGTAGCTGTACTCTTTGCAGGTGCTTTCACTCTCTTCCTATTTCAGTTCTGAGCTTGGGGATAGCAATGGTTGGTGGGTTTTGGAAGCAAGTTTTCATCGAATGCTTGTCAGAGCTGGCTGGGCGATGGCTGCACACCCAGCAGTGTAACATGCATGGAAACAAGGCATTGCCAGGAGAAATTCTGGCCCAGGATTATCATCCTGGTTATTTTTTCTGTCCATGCTGCAGGCAGGAGAGGGCTGGCACTGTACTGTAATGTGCTGGCATTTCCACTGCACTGTAGCTCAAGGGCTAGTCACAACTTCTGAGCTGTTTGGGAACAAAAGGCAGCTCAAAGACCTGCATTTTAGAACCATCTAAGACCCAGTCTGGTTCTCATTTTCCATCCAACTCCAATTAAACTAGCTCAGGAACACTGGCACAGGTTGGGAGAACGAACTCTGCAAGGGCTGTCTTGCAATCCCGTCTACCCACACTTAGCAAGACAGTGTTAGGGTACATGGTATTCCCTGGAGAGCATGTGGCAGACAGGATAGCTCCTACAGTAGCTTCTGCACAATTTGCCCAATGCCACAGTCCTTTTTGTGGCCCAAGTGGGCAGAAGAAGATCAGGCATTGCTAGTCCCGGCAAGCTCAAATGCCCAGGCAGGGTGGCCGTGAGCGGTCAATAGTTGTTGGACAGGCTCTGACCACCTGCAGTGAGCAAGCCTGTATGCAGGGGGAGATGTCTCTGCTCTTTCACATCCCAGACCTGGCCCTGGCCCGTCCTCCCCCTCCCGAAAGCAATTTCAATTATTGATGCCACTTGCTGTGTTAGTTCAGCTTTTGCTTGATGTGAAAACTTGTGTTAGAATTGTGTATTGTAAGCAGAGTTTCTATTGCAGCCAGGTTGAATTAACCCAACTGCATGAATAAATAATAGGACAGCTTTTAAAACATCTGCAAAAGTGTCAGCCTCCCTTGTGCATTTGGAGGCGGGGCAGAGCTGCCCAGGTTACAAACTCCAGACTCAGCTGTAAGTCCAGCCACAAGTCTATACTCTGTAAACTTCTCTTGGCTTCCATAGGTATTGAGGCTGTGCTGGCTGACAAACAAGCCAACCACTGCCTGTACCTGGAGTCAGGCAACAGAGCTCAGGAGTGCACAGTGGCATTAGGCACTGTGAGGATGATCCCTCTTTACTGCCCACCCAGTAAATGCAAACCTCCAGAGAAGTGCCATGCTGGTTGCAAAGCCTGTTTGTGTACATGGGCAGGGGGGTGAGTGAGAGTAAGCTTAGTATGAGGCTTGAGCACTTGCGTATGCTGCTTTGCCTTCCCACACCTGCATGTCCAGTGCCTAAATGCTCTGAAATTATATTCTCCCTTCCATCTTCCTACTTTATCTATCAACCTTTAACTGATTTTCTTGGAACCCAGAAAAGGTGTCTGGATAACTCACAAGTAATTATACACGCTAGCCAGAGGAACAAGGGAGAGAGCAGTATCTGACTATAATTGGCACACTTCCTTTGGTAAGACTAAACTGCTCAGGCCTGTCTGTTTAGGGAGATGGAGTATGTCATTTTCTCTTGCAGAAAAGGCTTAAATCTTTAAAAGTAGGATTAATCTCACCTATTGTTAGCCACCACCAAGTTTAGTGTCTTCTATCAATTTATGAATTCCTTTAGTCAATGGAGAGACAGAGGTCCCTCAAGAGTGTTGTTTTTCTCAATGTGCTAGTTTAGGCTGGACATCTAGCTTTTAGGCATTTTATGTTACAGGGGATAAATCCCGTCTGTAACCCATTTTGGGCATCCCACAGTAATAACCGCTCACTGTGATCCAGCATCCCACAATAAGATCTAGACTTTTCTCCTGGGAATCTGCTTCCACAACCTGCCCTGCAGCCAGCTGGGAGGAGTCACTGGGAACCTATCCTAGGGTTTCAATGTCTACCAGTCCAGGGAATACAGCTGTAGAGAGGTAGCCTGGACCATTAAAGCACTGATCTGGTACTGAGCAGTTTTTATCAAATCTACTTGGCAAGTACTGCAGGAAAATCATTTTGTTACTTTGAAAAAGTCATGCCCAAGGCATTAACATATATTTTTAATGAGACACATCATCATTATTGCATCCTTTCTTCATTCCTTTCTTTTGTACTACATGTTCAGATGTATTGTTTTTCTTTTTGTGCACTCTTCATTACGTGTTTATTCGTTGCTTTTGATCTCCTTCATTCGTCCTTCCCTTCCCTTCCCTTCCCTTCCCTTCCCTTCCCTTCCCTTCCCTTCCCTTCCCTTCCCTTCCCTTCTGTAGAGAGGTAGCCTGGACCATTAAAGCACTGATCTGGTACTGAGCAGTTTTTATCAAATCTACTTGGCAAGTACTGCAGGAAAATCATTTTGTTACTTTGAAAAAGTCATGCCCAAGGCATTAACATATATTTTTAATGAGACACATCATCATTATTGCATCCTTTCTTCATTCCTTTCTTTTGTACTACATGTTCAGATGTATTGTTTTTCTTTTTGTGCACTCTTCATTACGTGTTTATTCGTTGCTTTTGATCTCCTTCATTCGTCCT